CCCTGCTGACCACATTTCCAGCATGAACTGCTTCTGTCTGGGCCTTTGCATGCCGCCTTTTTGTGGCCATACCCCAGACAGCGGAAACACCTTTGGACATCCGCGCGCTCTCGGACGCGGCAGATAATCCAACCTACTCGCAGCTTCCCCTTTTCAATAAGAGTCCGGCCTGGCAGTTCATCGATTTCCACCACGGCCATTCTTTGTTCTCGCGAGTTTACAGCGAGGAGAGAGACGCGAAGTTGGCCATTCATCTTGTCTCCTAACTCCCCGCGTATAGCGTTCTCCACTTCTGGGGCCGTGGTTAGGCAGTCCATGCCCAGAACTTCTAGACGTAAACGTCTAGTGAGAATACGGGCGTCTCCAAGCTGGCCAATGGCAGTGCACACATTTTCCTTAAATGCTGTGTGGTTGCCACAGCGCTCCATTTCGATGAGCACGCCGCCTTCGCGGGTTTTCCGAACAGATCGAATTACGGTCTCCGTCTTCTCGGGTTGGAGCTTACCGCGTATCGTTCCCAGCACCTCTGCATAGGTTTTGCCTTCAGCTGGCTTAATTATTAATTTGGCGAGACTCTTCTTTTTTCTCACCCTCTTCTTTTTTTTGCGGCTGGTCGCCTCGCCCTTATTGACCAAGGGTTCACCTGGCGCTGGCCCTGGCTTGGGCTTTCTGCTTTTTCCAACCGTTTTCCATTGATTGTCTGGTACGGTTTTCTGTGCATTGTTGTTATTATTGCCATTATTATTAGGATTATTAATAATAATGTTTTTACTACTATTATTATTATTAGCAGTAGTATTTTTCTTCTTTTCCGGCTCGCCTGTAGGGGAGTCGGATCGAGTTCGACCTCTCTTTTGCGAGCCAGGGCCAGCCTTCCGCAGCTCGGAAAGGGTAGGCCCCTTCCGGCGCTGCTCTCGGAGGTAGCTTAATATATTTAAGCTCTCCTCGATTTGGGCCATACCTGTTTTTATGTCCATGGACACATTCTTTTGCTTAGACACAGCGCTCTGCATCTTCTTCAGGACAAGCCGAATCTGGGCCAATTGCTCATCTTCATTGCCTTCGCAAGTTCCCAAGCTTGCGGTGACATGCTTGTCGCTGTTTGCAGCAGCCGGCGTTTGAAGACGACTATCCCGGCTGCCGGGAGTTGCCGTTTGGCAAGGTGTAGCCTTCTGCGCCACGCCGGCGGCTTTCTCCGTGCTCGTGGTGCCGGAATTTGCCTGCAGAGGAGTTTGTGGCGGGGAGCGCACGACTCTACTGCTCTTCCTGAATGCGCTGCATTCTTCCTCCGTATCATCGACGTTCGTTTCGTTTATTGGTTTTGTTTTAATCATTTTCAGTCAATTGGGTCTCCGCTTCAAGCCGCTATCTCCACACGTAGCACAGTCGCTTTTAAGTGTCCCGAAGTTCCCTTCTCTCAAAGGAGCAGGCCATCGCGAGGGTTGACACAAGTCCTTATGGGATATTGTGTTCAGAGCCAAGACAGCGCAAAACCAGGAGTAAATCTCAACTGGACCTGTGCGGCCAACTAAATGGCGACGTGTATTGAACGTACTTGAAGACCTGCCAGGGTTTTAACGAGACGGAGGCGATCGCAGCATTAGCCCACCAGCCATTTCTGTGAGGTGTCACCCTCACATACTAAAGTGGCGGAATACTGCTCTCGCCAGCCCAATATCAGACTAATCGTATACATGCTCCAGTATGCCATGAACAGGATCTAACTGGTCTCAATCCTGGGATGCTTTTTGGGGGGCGGCATCTGTTCGCCCGGACACAGGAGATTCATCAAGCATTTCTGATCTTTTAAATCAGGCCCTCGTCTCCTGCCGCTCTTGGTCTGGGACTGCTTATTGGTTATTCGCAGCTAACCTATCGGAGTAGGCCGTTCACGATCCGCCCTGTGTGACCCTGGTAAGGTCCTGAGCTTAGCCCTTAGATTTAATGGTATTATATTCTCAATTTATAAATTCCACTATCTACAATAACATTTTATTACAAGAGCAAAATCCTCTATCTACACAATATTGCTGGAAAATTTTTTTATATTAACATTTTTTGTAGCAGGCCAAATAAAGACTGGGTAAGTTACATGTGTCTATGTACATATGTACATGTTACCGGTAAAATCCGATCTTAGGTCAAACTAGTTTTACTTACATGCGATATATCTGTCCAACCGAAACCAAATTGGATACAATAATCTTGTGGATTGTGTAGCTTGAGTTGGACTGATGAAATTTACAAAAATAATTTGTCCTAAGATCGGGTTTGGCCGGTAGCGTATATACATACATACATAAGTATATTTTTATTTGCCGAATAACTAGAACCAACTGTTAACGTGTGCATAATATAACCAAACAGTTGGAAATGTCCGCCTTGCACCTTATTGCGATTGATTATGCATCATCAAAAGAAGGTTCTGGAATTGACGGAATTCCTAAAATCAAATAAAAAAATTAACTAACTGACCTTGCAGTAATTTAAGGTTACCTAAATAGATTCCGACAATGAGGAAATAAACCCCAAATCGTGTTCCAATAAAAGAAAAGCGAATTCAATGAAAAGGATGAAAGGACAAAAGTATTTCGGATTCCAAAGATGAAAATGTCAAACAAAATAGCCTTAAGTCAGCAAGGAAAATTGGGCTAAAATACATGTCGGCCACATGTTTCAAAAGCAAAGTCAGGCACTGTGGACAGTTTGATGAAGAGTGCAGATTAGAGATATTTTTGAGTCATTTTGGAATATGTCGTGGGAAGCTAAGCGAGTTTTCATACGTTTCTCAGATTAAAAACATGATGTATTGTTGAAAACTCCAGACTAAACAGCTTTATTTTTCGACTGCCTTAAAACAATCAATCATTGCAAGTATGTAAATCAATAGGGGAGCTCACGTTGAGTAGAATTTTAGGTGTAAAGTTGCTACGTAGCAATCTACCACATGTTTTGTTGCTCTTCCAACAACAAAATGCGTGCTAGATTGCTACGTAGCAACTTTACACCTAAAATGCTACGGAAAGTGAGTACCGCTAATGTTTCTTTCTACTTTGTCTTTAAAAATTGATATGGTAAGAGGTAGGTTAAAAAATTGCAATAACGACAATTCGTCGCCTACCACCCGAACAACAAATTTGTTTGTCTGGATTCGAAAATGTTCCTTAAAGAATACTTAAAAAAATTGGACAAAATGGAGAGCCATTATTGCCGTAAAGACACGCATAAAACATATACCGCAGCAACATTTAGAACAAAAACCGATATTTATAGAAACTATCTCGAAAAATGTTCGGAAAAGCGTCTACAACCGGTATCTATATTTACGTTTTCAAAAGTTTTCGCTGAAAAAAACTTAGCTCTCTTTATGCCTCGCAAGGATCAGTGCGATAAATGTGTTGGATTTAAGGCTCACCAAATTTCTGATTACGAATATAATGATCATATTTCGAAAAAAGAACGAGAGCAGCTTGAAAAGCAAAAAGACAAACTTTTAGGTCAAGAAGGACGATGTCATTTCTTTACTATGGACGCTCAAGCAGTTAAACTTTGTCCTAATATAAATGCATCATCGATTTATTTTAAACAGCGTTTGCAAGTCCACAACTTTACTATGTATAATATCGTGAACCATGAATGCACAAATTATTGGTGGAACGAAAGTAATGGAGATTTATCGGCTTCGTTTTTTATTACATGCATAATTCATCACTTAAAAACCTGTTGGTTATCTGATACGTTACTGATCATCATATATTCAGATGGTTGCGGTTATCAGAATCGGAACAGTTACTTATCAAATACAGTCTATTTTTGCTATAGAACATAATAAAGTTATAGAACAAAAGTATTTAGAAAAAGGCCATACTCAAATGGAGTGTGACCCAGCACACACCAAATTCGAAAACAAATTAAAAAACCAATCTATATATCTACCAAACGACTACATTAATATAACCAAAGGGGCTCGAAGGACTATAAAAGTCAATAATCGTATTATTCAAAAACCATTTCATGCTTTATATTTACAATACGACTTTTTCAAAAACTACAGTGATAGAGATCGTATCCGGTTTTCGAGCATAAGACCCAGACGAATCAGAAAGGAGCCTACGGTTGCCGAGCTAAGGTCTCTTAAATATTTGCCGAGTGGAGACGTTCTGTTCGAGATAAATTTCAATGATAACTACAAGGATTTACCTGCACGAATTAAGAAGTATTCAGGCTACAACGAACCAAAGCCTCTACATTCTGATTCAATTCCGATCCATCTATCTAAATGGAAGCATTTACAACAGTTGAAACCAGTTATTCCATCTGAATATCATTACTTTTATGATAATTTATTGGCGCAACTAAGTTCCAATTCGGCATCTAACCGTGTTTGCGCAAATTGCAAATTTCCATCAATTATAGTTTATAAATAAAATAGAATGATGCTTTGTTTTGCTCTATTTCCGAATAGCATCATCCAAACACCCATGCTTGTTCAAAAAAAATTTAGTAGATATAGCTGCTACCTCATACCTCTTGTGTTAAGATTACCGGTTACTAACATAATGCATCTGTAAATCATTCTAACGTCATAAACCACTGTCTGGCAGCTAGTAGCCTCTCGAGTGCGCTAAGACTACTATATGTGCGTGTATATTTTTCCTTACCCTGTTATAAACTAATAAAACAACATTTTACCTTTGGTCGGTGATGTTAAACGAATAACCGTGACATTCGTTCGCGTGTAACATCATAAATGTATGTGCGCGAATGTTCGTAAATGAATATTTCCGAACTCTTATATAAAGTGCAGTAACTCAAACAATTTTTTAGATATGCGCAAATATTACAAAATAGCAAATTGTTTATTTCTTATTCGATTTTATAATTTTTACAGATACATACTTCATCCTTCGAACCATGGGAAACCGGCGGAATAAAATCAAAGCGCATGTAAATAACTGGGAAGGATTGAAATTTAACAAAATAAATATAACAGCGTTAAATTATTTATCATCGGTTTTAACAGAAATCGATACAAAGATTTAGTACTTTTTCGTATTTATCGATAGTATAAAAATATGAGAATGCTTATATTATTTCAGTTAGTGATGAATGCGTCGTTTTTTTTCATTTAGGCTACATCGACTTGTATGGACTTCAGCACTTGTTTCTCAGCCTCATTTAAATGGCTTACGAACATACTGAAATGTTCATTGCTCGAAAAGTTCTGTAAGAATTTCGTAAGGTTTTCTTCCATATTTGTTTGGAATAGCGGATTTTTCATTAGCTCTTGAGTGAGTTGATCGTCGTCGGTGTTCTCTTCATCATCCTCATTGAAATACAAGTCGGATATGAAGCGAGGCTTCGGTGGCGAATTTCCAGAAGATTTGTCACCGACCGCGCCACTAGAGAGATCATCTTCTTCATCAGAATCTTCTTCATAGTCCGCGAGATGTGCTTCTTTTAAATGAGCCAGCTCGTTAACAAGAAGCTTAAACATTTTTACCAGTGCAGGAATAGAAACCCATTGTTGGGCAGCTGCCGCTTGCGATCTCGTTTTCACACGTGTGCTGCTAGTATCAGATATGACTTGTTCTTTAACTGTTATGGTTGTGAGCCGATTATCTTGCGTGGTGACGCCGTATTCAAAAAGTTTGCAAAGTGCCATCGTTGTCACCTAACAAGAAGCAATTATATAAAAATTAATGTACTAAAATTTATGCAATCATTCTCTAACCTTTCGTTCAAAGGTTCCAAAGAAAGAAGTTTGCTTTGCTAACCAGTTACTAAATACAAATTGCATAGCAGGTTCGCCGGTAGGACCGGGTACGGTTGATAAAAAATTCAGTACAGCATCCATTTGAGTGAGGAAGAGATGGGCGAATATCACCACCAAACTCATTATCACCTTAAGGCACTCCGCAAGTTGCATTTTGCTGATTACCGCCTTTAAAAGCAGATCTACATTTTCTCCCAACATATTACCCATTTTAGTAATGATTGTTATAACTAAACGATCGACTTGGCCAGCCGTCATTTCGTTATTCATCGGGTTTAGCAACATTGTAGTCAGTTGCATTATATAGTTTAGACCTTCCCCATTTTTGTATGCACAAATTTGTTCAGGTGACACAAATATAAATGTACGCAGGCATTCTCCACCAGATACCATTACGGCATTGTCGTCAGAACGTAGAACGCAGTGAACCATGGCAGGGAAAGCGCTCTCTACAAGTGCCGCTGACAGTGGAGCTTTTGAATATCGCACAATGGTGGTCAATACGTCCAATGCAATATCTTGTTTTGCCGAATTTGCTTGCTCACCTTGCAAAGAAAGTATGCTAACAATTGTCGGGATAAACTTTTCCTGTAGTGGTTGCAAGCACATGGGGTTTTGTAAGAGTGCTTTTATAAGATCCTGAACGATTTCTAAAATGTAAGGATCTTCTGGGTATTTTAAGAACACGGCTATTGTTAAGGGAATTAATTTGGATTGCGCCTGGGCTGCAAACGAAGGATCAAACTGAAAAGATTGACATATATTTACGTTCTTAAGAGCAATCTTGCAAAATTATTACCGTTATGATTGTAGTTAAACATTCCAAAATTAGAGTTAGTACTGATGATTTACAGCCGGGTACAATTTCTAGAATTCCATCAACAAAACCGGGCAATTTGGCCTGAATTAACGTCCGTTTATCTCCTTCCGATTTTTCGTGCGCTTGTACAAATCCATGGATAGCCCTAATATAGATATTTTCAAAAGTTAACTAAGCATGGCGAATGAGAGATACAACAACAACAATGCGAGATATAGACTTACCTCACAGCACTAATCTTCAATACTATTGATTTTTCCGAAGACAGACTTTGCATAGTTGCGACCAAGATTTCCTCCAACATCTGCGGATTGTAAAGTTTTGATTTGGAATAAGTGCTTAGTGTCCACAAGGCACGTCCGACCAAATGAGCCGAGTCTTGATAATTCAACAAATTCCGAACTAGTGTAAGGTAGTTCAATAAATCGAATTGGTCCTCAGTCTCAAGAATAAGTTCTCGGTATGAGTGTACTGCTACCATACAGGCTTCCTGTATCTTCCACCAGTTTGGGTTGCGTGCACTCTTCTCAGCCTCCGCTACATTCATATGACGACCCAGAGCTTCTTGTAAAGCCGGTAATACTTTGGTACCAAGTTCATCACATAGAGCCTTTAATCGACGATAATTAGATAGGTGCTCTCAGTTTGAAAATCATTATGCATGTGCTTAGGTATACATATCTAGCTATACTTACACTTAAGACATCTTGTCCACACAATCTGATTGTCAATTCCACGCCCCCTTCTTCCTCATCATCAACAAATTTTTCAGGATCTTCGTTCCAGTCCTCAATTTGTTCTTCAGGCACTTGTATATACACAATTACAATATATATCAAATCGGTTAGTACATTTTTGATAACAGAACGAAATTTCCCAGTGCAAATTATACATTGAATAAATTCAAAAATCTGGATAATCATTGTTGAGAAATTAGTGAGTTCGTCATCCTCGACAGATTCCGATATAGGAAAAGGATTTGGCTCGATTTGGTTAACAGTAACTTTAACGTAAACATCTGCAATTTGTGTTAGCAGCTGCCATATGATTGGTAGTACACGTTCCATGTAAGGTTGGATATATTTTGGCATCTCAGTCACGAGGAACGTCAATACTAAAGTAGATAACATTAATTTGAATTATTGTATTAAAATGTTAATCGTAAAATTCACAAACGTTTCACTATTTCCGTCCTGAGCATGAAGTTTGAGGTATTGCCACTGTTCATTGATAAATAGTGCATCAACTTTTCCATAAAATTGTTTAGGATCGAGTTCATCATAGTTGCCTGTTCGTGTTTATCAGCAATATTTATACTAATGGACAGGAAAAGTGACTTTAATATGCGTATAGCTGAAGTACGCGTTTTAATGCTATAGTTCTGTTCTGATTCAAATATGCGGTAGACTTCCGATATAACAACGGGTCCCAGTTCCTTAACTTGCTTCTCGTCATACGAAAAATCTTGAAGTATCTGCATAGCGCCATGTATAGAGTCTTCATTACCACCCAAACACTTGATTATAATATCAAATAACTCTGTCCACACAGTAGGCCAATCGGTCATAGCAATTGTCGAAATAGTATGTGCTACCGACGAGCGAATCTTTGAGTTTGGATCGTATAATCCATTTGGTAAGATGTTTCGTATTGTACGCTTTGCCTGCTCTGTAGCAACGTCATCTTCCTCACTCCAGTGATTCTCCACATAGCGGGTAAGCATAATACAAGCAATCTGACGCAAAGGCAATTCAAAAGACTGATTCATAATTAACTCGGATAAGTATACGCCATAACCTGTAATTGAAGTAGATGTACATAGTCTTTTCCCCCCAAGTAATATGGTACATTTTCGATATTACCCTCGGTGTACTCTAGGTGCTTAATTCTTTGTTCAGCCGATTGCAATACATTCGTTTCCGAGCTGAGCAAATTTTGCAGCTCCTCGAATAGCGCCTGTTTAACGGAGTCAGCATTTTGAAATGCATGCGACATTTTCTTTTTTAAATTCTGATCAGCACTTTACAAGATATATAAGTATGTTAAAATATAAAAACCGGCAGGAGCGCAACTTGCACAATGAACAGATACAAAAAATAGTGTGCTAATTATCTGTCAAGTTTTTGCAAACCAAAGGTCTAGGCATGGATAACACTGCGCTGCGCGGCGCAATTGCATTAGCACCATAGCCGGAGTTGCCGCGGCAATAGCAGTATATGGAAAGCGCCAGCGCCATTAACACCAAGCAACATATGAGGCACACACACAATTCGCCTTAACTCTTTGAAAATTTATATGTACTTTGTTTTTGCTTTTGAGTGTTGAGAACGCATATTTAAAGCTTTTACTCCAGAATGATAGAATATCGTGGCATTTACTACATTCCTAGCAATTAAATTCAGTTGGCGGTACAAGCGTTGCTCCGCGCCGAAAATTAAAGAAATAATAGACATGACACCACTGTATGGTGCATGATTCAATAATACAAGCATGAACGAAAGACACAAGATCACGTAAGAACAAGAGAGTGAAAAAAGTAGATTTTTTTTCATGTAAGGTTGGATAAATATTGACATTTGATTCAATCGACTGCCTTGTAAGGTTGCATTTGAGAAGGAAAGAGAAAGCGGGTAACCATTTATCCCCCTTTGTGAAAAGGTAGTGGGAAAAGTAGTGTGGTAGTGCTGAAATGGTTTTTTTTTTAATTCAATTAAATATATGAAACGGATTCCACTGATCTACACAATAGACAATGAATTAACTTTTTATGGTATAATAAACATGCCTTAAGATATTAAAATGAAATAAACGAATATTCACATAAAATTCTGACCAAAGAAAAATCGTATCGACAAATATTCCCAAATATTCAAAATAAACCATGGTTGCATTGAAATTCCAGTATATATTAAACAAAATTAATGGAATTGAAACAAATCCTTTATTCAAAAGGACTATATGAAGAAATATACAAATAGTAATGATGTAATTAATATAATGCATATAAATTAATCTATTAAAAATTATATTTGTTGCATTTAAAAATTACATGTTAAATATCTTGAATTGAATTATATTTGGTTTTTTAAAAATTTAAATTTGTTAGTAATGTTTTCTACTATTTTTTCCAATCAGTCTTGCTTATCATTATACATTTTCAATATCGTAATTGAACTACATTTGGTTTTTTACAAATTTAAATGATTTAGTAATGTTTCATACTATTTTCTCCAATAAGTCTTGCTAATCATTATATTGGTTACATTGAAAAGTTGGATCTTGAGTGACTAATTTAATTATTTGGTTTTTTCATTAAAATTTAATTTTAATATTTTGTACTTTTTTCCATTTAGTCTTCTTAATCATAATATTGGTTACATTTAAAAAATATGTATTCAGTATCGTAATTTAATTATATTTGGTTTTTTAAGCATGTAAATTTCTGGAAATGTTTTCTACTATTTTCTCTTATCAGTCTTGTTAATCATTATATTGGTTACATTTAAAAAGTAGATCTTGATTTTCTAATTTAATTACATTTGGTTTTTTAATTAAAATTTAATTTTATTTTTTTGTACTTTTTGGGTGTTCTATAGATGAACGGTTAGTACACTAGACTTTGTCCACTTATTAGAACTTGCATACAAAACACCAGCATATCACACACCGTCTTCAAAAGAGTTACAACTCACAATTTGTAATTTTTGAAATTATGGACAGAGCTTCTATTTGACTTTCAGCAAAAGCTGCAGAAATTTTTTTCTTATAATTTGTTAAAAAAAACCTAAGGTAAAGTCGTCCATTTCCATGTGTGCTAAGAAATAGTTTTTCGCATTTTCTTACAACCGTATTATTTGAGTTGTGACTCTATTGAACACGGTGTGCGATATTGTAAAGGCCTTGCGCTAAAAGTGGGCTGCGCTACGATCATGTTCAGCTTGCGGTAAGGAAAAAGTTGTACCTGTGATCAGATTAGAATCCTGGAAGTATATAACAATCACTGCACCAGCGAATGTAGACGGAAACACAATTGATCCGGACCTACACAAGAAAATATATTTATTAATATTTGTACTTTCACTTTTATGGGGTGGTATACATACTTGTAAATATGTAAAGGCTTCAAAGGGAGAATCCCTGCACCAGCGAATGTGGACGGACACACAGATGATCAGGACTTGCGCAAGAAAATATCTTTATTAATATTTGCACTTTCAGTTTTATGGTGTGGTATACTTACTTGTAAATATGCAAAACTTTACTTGTTGTAAAACTCTAGTTCTTTAATATGAATTGTGAATAACTCTGAGACTCTGCAAAGAAATACATATGTAAATTATTGTTTTAATTCAAAATATTTCCATTATTTTAGACTTTTTTGGCATACTTACTTGAATTTGGTCAATAAGAAAATGAATTTCCACATAACAATCGATGAAAATATCGGCAGTGTTGCCTGTTGAACTTTTTATACGAACACAGTATTTCTCCTTGTATTTTAGTAGTAGTTTCTATAAATCAAAAAAGAAAGCAACACACGCTAAGGCAGAATGCGGGAGCGAGACAACGGCCAGCTTATCCAACCTTAGGTGCAATCCCGTATTCCTCGGACTCGGACTAGTAAAACTGTCAAAAAATAAAAATTCGCTCAGAGCGAGAGAGTAACATTGAAAAGTACGGGATCGCTTTCTAGTAAAAAATGGTAACTTCTGTCAACTTCAACATAAAATCCAAATTTTGGTTGAAAATTTTTGCTTAGTTTGTACGTAAACACACTCAGCTCACACATGTAAATAACCAAAAATACTTTCAATTTCATTAGAATCCACTTAAACAAGTAATTAAATACTTTGCAACATGAATTAGCAGAGTGCACGTTCCCTTTGTTTACAATTTGGTTGCCAAACACACTACAGCTGATCGTTTGACACATTTACCAGAATTTACCTGCAAAAAATTCTCGGACTAAAAGCTTAGTATCCAGCTCTTAAGAAAACGGTCAAGAAAAAATTGCCATTATTTCGCGCGTGTCTCCAAGGAATTTTGACATTTTTGATAACGCACAGCCTGTTGCCTCACTCTTTCCTCAAGAAATAATGGAACGGGCATATATTTCTGTTGCAAACCTGGGTTGCCTTGTGCTATTTTTTCACAAAAAACTTTAGAAAACCGTAGTAGAAAGCGTACTAAATTTCTGAAGAACTGCGTACTGCCTTAAGGAAATTTGACTCAAGAAAATTTCTTAGCCATTTCTTGTACGTCATTTTATATGGAGTTTTTGCTTTTCTTAAGAGCTGGATACTAAGCTAAAACTGGTAACTTCTGACAGAGAGAGAACCGTATTTACTCTCTTTTTTGTCCTCTCAATAGTCAGAGAACCGAGTACGGGATCGATTTACAGTAAAATCTGACTGATTCTGACTATTTCTGACAGTCTTCCGGACTCGTACGGGATCGCAACTCTTGTATTATTGAATCATGTGTATGGTGTACTGCACTGTATGACGATGGGTACTGTGGTGACACTCAGATGGCGCCATGTTCAAATCAGTACACTGCGCTATTGCGCTGGGTTAGTGAGCTGACACCACAGGTGGCGCTGGCATAATTGAGCTAGCGCAAAAAATTGCGTTCTTTAAATGGGAAGCAAAGAAAAGATCAAAAGAGACAAGAAAACTTGAAACGAATTGACGGTACGGAGGCATGAACCAAAAAGACAAGATCACGCGGGCAGGAGAGTAGCCCGTTAGAATCACAGTATAGACAGTAACCAACCTTTTTGGGTTGTTGTTGTAGTAGTCGTTGTTGTTGTAGTTATATTCACTCCTGAGGAAGGCACGGGATTGTGTGCTGCTATTTCCCTGCAAAAATCGTTGGACCATGTAGTCTTTTTGTGGTAAATTGGAGTACTTACAAAAGTGTTCCTCTGTCATGCTGTAGCGGACCAACTCGTGTCTCTGCGGCAGCTTATTGCTTGTTATCCGATCACTGCTCGTGTTTTAACGAAACGTGATTGAAGTTGAGCATTTGAAAGCACATTTGCATGTCTGGCTGTAGCTGAACGTGTAGAGATGCTCGCTGTTATTTCTTAGCTCCCAGCATGTTCGGGTTCGAATACCGTCAGAGGCAACATGTAATTTTTAATTTTTGTCTTGGTGTTTATTAATTTCGAAAAAGCATTTGAGAAGTGAAGAACAAAAGCATGTACAAACGAAAAAATATAACAACAATGCCCATTGTTAATATGTTGGAGTAGTTTTGTGCTACTCTGATGTAATGCAGGGATGGAGTATATGGTCCTGCCCTAGGACATCGCAGTGTTAATTGGACCATATTTTTTATATGAATTGTGGTTAATTTTGGAGTACTCTTTGGTCCTTAGGGAGTACTCTTTACACGCATGCATGGAGTAGTCGCGATTTTTGCAGGGTTAATGGCCTTCTTCAGACTTTTTCTTAGATTTCAGGGTTGTGTGCAGCATAATTATAAGATAAATAAATTTAAGCATTTGACAATACGTGATTTTATTAAAAGAAAATTATAAATGGTGTTGAAAAACCAAACAAACGCTCGTGCGAAAGCTCTATTTTTGTTGTTAAAATTTATACATGGCGTATTGATGGACAAGCAATGTATTCTTTTGTGGATTTTATGTTGCTTGAGCAGGTTCTGTTATCAATATAATTAACACAAGCTTTTTCGCGTAGTTGCCTTTCAATAAATAGAATAAACAAATATTCGCAAATAAATTGGATTTATTTTATAACTGACAACTAACGTACGATTTTTGCTCTTTTCTCCATTTTGATTTTGACTCTTTATTACCGCCAACAACTTAATGTGTATACATATTTACAAGCTGTCAAAATTTTGCGTAGTCCCACGAGCCAGGTAAAAACTATGGCATTCGTATTCACAAGGAGAAATTTCAAAATTTTTGTTTGGTATTTCCAAATTTTCTCTTTTTTATCAGTTGGCAAAAGCGCTCAGTGGCGGCGCTCCGAGCGTTGAGATAGTAATTTCATGTCAATTAGTAGAAAAGATCCATGTTGAAAAAACTTTTTTATTATGGCGAGAAAATTTTACATTACTGTGCCAATTCGTAACTTTTTACTGCTGGAAATTTTTGACAGTTGGTCTGGTGCAAAAGAAGTTGAGCAATTAAAATCAGAAATTATACAAAAAAGACTTGTCTTTACTGACTTTTATTCTTCTAGAACTAAAAGCCATGAATTTATTAGACACCTTAGTAATAAAATTAAAACAAAAAAATTCTTCAAAACCGTCAGGCCGGGTTGAAAATTGTCATCCACCTCATAGTTAACAAAAATTTACAATCCGTAGTACTTTTCTATCAATTCGCAAATGCCGTTTGCACAAAAAAGGTTATGAAATGCTTTTTATTTAAATCGTTTAGAAAATGAGTCATTTATATATACCATTTTATATGGAATTATTCAATAAATTTCGTTTTACACTATATTTTTTGAAACATTTGGAGTTAATTATTTTTTGTTTCTTAAAAGCAACCCTGCGTGCTTGGAAGGCGTGTTACCAATAATTTCATCCCTAGCATATTCATCCCCGAGGAAGGCAGTCGCCAAATTCACCGAAGGTTGTTTATAGGGCTTTCGCACGAGGCGATTTTTCAGGCAACTTTTAGTTGAAAGCAAAAATCGCCTCGTCCGAACGGCCTTTCAACTAATCGCTTTCAACAAAGTTGGTCGCCAGCCAACTTTTTAATTCGCTCATATATTTTCTTAGTACATTCCCTTCAAGACCAATGATTTTATGGTATTCATGAGAAAGTTTTATTGTTTATGTACATACGTTTACGTATTTTACACTTTTACAAATTGATTCCACGTGCACATGTACTGCATTTAACGCAAATATGTATGCACACATTTTCAGGTATACATCTTAACAAAAAGCATATTTAAGTTGATATTAATGGATAAAAGAGACATTTTCTTTGGATTCAGTACTAAAATTTGACATTTTTATAGCATTTCACGTGCTTATCAAAACTTTACGACAAGATTTGACCATTTATCTTTATATTATTAAATTTTAATTATTTTTTGTAAAAATACGGTTTATATTTTAAGAAAAGCCGTACAAATCCAAGGTCCAAACTTTGTGCAACATTAAAAAAAAACCAACACACTTTCGTCAAAATTTCGAGCTTTTTAATTCGATTTCCTAGATTTATTTTGAGTGTGCGGTTTTTTAGCAATTAAATTTTAATATAAGTAAGTTTTTTAAGATTTCTTTGATGAAGGTGTTGCTAATTTTCTCCATATAAAAATATCGTCGAACACACTTCGTATGGAAGAAAATGACTGACATCGTCGACAAAAAAAAATGCCAAGTTCAACGGTAAGTCCCAGCTACTTTAAACTTGCACTTTATTATACTAAAATTGAATGGGCTAAAAACTAAAGAATATTGATAAAGCTTGAAATTTTTACGAAAGTATGTTGGTTTTTGGATGTTTCGCATAGATTTAATCTTGGGTTTATACAGTTTTTCTTAAAGAATACATTATATTTTATAAACAGATAGTTAAAATTAAAGAATAATAAAATAAATAGTAAATCTTCTCAATATGTGAGTGCCGTAAAGGTATTATATTTAAGAAAATCTCTTCTTATAACTAACGAAGACTTTCTTTCTATATGAAGTTGACTTCGACATTTTGTTTTAATAAAACTTAGTATCGAAAAGTTTCTTTAAAAATTTGCCTAGGCTGTATTATACTGGTTCGTTCAAGCCATTTTTCAAAACTTACAAAGGTAAATACGAACTGGCGAACAAAAGAGAATACAAAGAATTTCTTGCTGTGAATTTTCAGAGCAGTATATTTTTAGTATTCATTACAAAATTGTATTAAAAAGTACTGCGTAGTAGGAAAGTATATTGTAAATGAAATTGTATCAAACAAGTACAATTGTACCAAAAAATGCCAACACTGTTGTGTATACATATTTTTTTTCTTTTTTACTTTTTTACTCTTATTTTATCTTTCAGCTTCGCTAAAAGCACTTATACCAACGCTTGGCTTACCAAATTTACGCCAATTGATAAAATTTGGCGATTTAAACTCATTTTAAATAATGTAAACAACAATTCGAGTTGAATCGAAAATCGCCTCGTCTGAATAGGGATGGCAACTTTTTCACTTTCAACTTCTCATTCAACTCCGCATTCAACTTTTGTTGCCTGAAAAATCGCCTCGTGCGAAAGGCCTATTAGAATCGCATTAAGGAAAAAAGTTGAACGATTTTGACATTAGCCGTTTATTTACATTTCTTCGTTGTTTACAATTTGGTGGTGGCTTTTTACTGCAATTTTCTTCATTTTCGCTTGTGACAACGTGTGTACACATAAGATAAAGAATAATTTAACACAACGGCATGATTTTTAGAAGAATTTGCATAATAAAAATGATTTTTCATGCGTTCAACAATTTCGCGGTTTTCTCCGTTCTCTTCGTTGTTTACTTCTTACAGCAAAGATGGCGTCGAGATTTCGGCAGCTAGAAAATAACTTTTTTCGTTCTTTCCGTCCCGCGTGATCTTGTGTCTTTCGTTCATGGTACGGAGGCATGAACCAACGACTACAGATCACGTAATCCGCCATCGTTGTATTTGTAATCGATTTTCAGAAAAAAGTTTTCGTAGCGTTTTTGATGTTTTTTGGTTCTGTTTACATCGTCTTCTACCTCTTCGTAGTGATATTTTAGCGATTTTATGTGTTTTCTGCAGCGCTTTTAATTAGAAATTTTGATTTATTACAAATTTATGATATAATATGAAGTGCTTTGTGATTGGAACAAGTTTGTGCGTCTGTTTGATTTGCCAAGAGGCGTAAATTTGCGTGAAAAGTGGGTGCACATTTGTGGTCACAACGTTGGCATTGAAAAATCGGCCGGTGCCGATAATATGCGATTGTAAAACACTCTCAATCATTAAAACCATATTTTATGAACTTTTTTTGCTAATTGTCATCAAGTTTCACTTTTTATATTTTATAATAAATAGTATTTATTAAATACAAATCTAATCGCACTCAATAACCGCGCCTTTTTCGTTTTCTTTGTTTGTTTTCATTTTTAGGCAGATGTCAAAAACGCTCAGAAATTTACTTTTTTCATTCTTTTCCGATTGCGTGATTTTGTTAGTTGGTTCATGTTATAGCAGCATACAGATTCCACGAGCAGTTTTTGGATTTTGGTGCTGGAGTACCTGGCACATTCAACATACTCTGCTATCATGATTCAATAATTATTGAATCATGCTCTGCTATTACCTGAATAATGAGCCTTCATTTCTATTGAACGTTTGCGAACATTGGTCGTTATTTGGGTAAATTTTCAATTTTATTCAAAAAATCTTAACATCTTCGTTTGGGATTGCAGCAAAAGGAATACGCAAGCGATAGGTTTGTCCATAAATTAATATACATATGTATGTATGTACAATGTACATATGTAAATTTATTGTTACAATTTACAGAAACTGCGCTGGAAAACTAATTCAAAGATTTTGGTAGCAATTTACACAATTGGATACAAGTGAGAAGAGTTATGCTCATACATAAATTTAAAGCGTGTGAAGTGGAAATGTATGTACATATGTATATGTGTAAACCAAAGCATTGATCAGGTAGGAGAGGTAGAGATTTTCAATTAAAATATCATGATTCAATAATAATTATTGAATCAAGTTGAAATATCAAGTATTGTAATTTTTTTTTTT